TATTGTGACAATCAGAGTGCCATTCAGATTGCTCACAATGATGTTTTTCATGATCGCACCAAACATATTGAGATTGATTGTCATTTCATTCGCCAGCATGTTACCTGTGGTACTGTTCATCTTCTCCCTATTGCTTCAGCCGATCATCCCGTTGATATCTTCACTAAGGCTCATCCTCCTGGACGGTTCAATGATCTTGTTTCCAAACTCAGCTTGGTTGATGCTTTTTCTCCTTGAGTTTGCGGGGGGATGTTAGTATATAGTTGTTTATATGCTGTTAAAGCATCATGGCTTAGCTAGTGTATAGTTGTTAATAGCTGTTATAGCATTATAGCTTAGCATTATAGCTTTAGCATAGCTTTATCTTTTATATTGTAAATGCTTTGTGCTTTCGGTGGGCATCCAATGTATCATATCCTCTCTATAAAGATATTGCATTATCTTTGTAAATTTAGACACACAATTACAGACAATTCAGTCTCTCTCTCTCTCTCTCTCTCTCTCTCTCTCTCTCTCTCTCTATCCTCTCTCTTTCTCTATCAAACTATTGTTTCACCCTCCTTCCCACATCCCATTCTTTTGTTCTTCCTTTGATAGCATAGAAAAACAGATAAAATTAGACCAATAGTACATCATAAGTCACCATGTTTTCCACTAGTAGAACCTAAATTGAAACATTAATTTTTTAGCAGTTATTACAAATTTGATAATTGAAACATTAATTTTTTAGCAGTTATTACAAATTTGATAGATAATTATCTTGGTGGTGCTTGTCTGAATGGTGATTGGTTTAGACAATGAAATTTATATAATTTATGTTGTATTTGTAAAATAACATGAACAGACTTAAAAAACTCTCTCCCGTAAATATTTTTTTAAATGAACTAAACTTTTCATTTGTCAATTGTCGAAGCCATTGAGTTTTATTTGATGATCAAACTTATTTATCTTCCAAACATATTTGCGTAAATATCACTTATAAAAAATAGAGTTAATTATTTAAAAATTCTATTTACAAATGTTAAGATAATCCAGGTCCTATCTAAATTTTTTTGAACCAATATAAGTCCTATTTAGTAAAACTGAAAATATTATTTTTTTTTTCAATTTTTAAAACTAAGAATATTATCAATTTTACATAATAATATTCCAAATAATTGTTTCATTAACAAAGAAAAAAAATAGAGCAGGAAATTAAATGTTTTTACCTTCTACTTATTATTTTGATTTCATTATCCAATAAAATCGAGAATATTATCAGTTTTTTTCAGTTTTAAAACTAAGAACATTATCAAATTTTTTATTTTTTTTTTCCAGTTTTGCACATCAATGTTCCACAGTCATACTTCTTTATAAATACAAAATTTTTAGTTTTGCACAAAAAAAATTCAAATTTTTCAATTTTTTTTTTTACATAATTTTTTTAAAAGTTTTTTCAATTTGAAAGTTGATATTTTAAAGTTTTAAAAATCAAAATAAATATTAAATAATCATGTTCCTTTATAAATAATCATAAATGATTAATAATTATTATTTGAAGGATAATTTCGATTATTAAAAATTTAATGGAATTTGAATGTCCAAAAGATCTTAGTTAGGACTTAATGAAATATATGTTCATAAATTAAAACTTGTGTGTAAATACTACTAAAAAATAATAATAATACATTAGTTTAATGATCTTAATTATCTAAGTTTTTATAACAAAATAAACGATAAGTCTGATTTTAAGATTATTCGATTGGAAAAATATGAAAAATTGACATGATTGAAACCACCACACAATTACATATTGACACTTAGGTCTTATTTGTCATAATCTAAAAAAGTTAAAAAATCAAAAAGTCACTATCTTATTTAAGTCACATCATCTTATTTAAATCATATCACCCCTCTATCACATCACTTCAAACCTAATTCATACTCAACTCATATTCCATAAAAAGTCAAAAAGTGCATTTATTTAGGGGTTGTTTGGAGTGTCCTAAATAAGTGCATTTTTTGTCTTTTTAAACTAAAAAGTTGATTTTTTGTTATTTAGGGGTTGTTTGGAATGTCCTAAATAAGTGCATTTTTTTGTCTTTTTAAGCTAAAAAGTTGAGAAAAAAAATAGAGGTTTTAGTTAATTTTTTGACTTTTTACGAAAAAATATGAATTAAAAAATTGTATAAATAAGTGTGTAGGAGAATGTAGTGGATTAGGCCGTACAGGTTGGGCAGGGTAGTGGGTTGGTTATGAGATGGGAAATGATTGCCTCCTTTTCGGGCTTGAATTGAACGGTGTTGTTCGGTCATGGGGCCCACCATAGATCTCGTTTTGCTAATCAGAACCGTTCAATATGTAGAACTCGTCGAGTATTATATGCTTGTAAAAAATCACGTTGATTGGATATCGATAACTATTTGATCGTGTTAGTTTTTTTGTCAACTATTAACTATAACACCATCTATTTTTTATACAAAACTGATTTGATCATGTAGTTAGCAATATCCGATCAACGTGATTTTTTACAAACATACAGTTCTGGACAAGTTCTACACATTGAACGGTTCGGATTATCAAAACGGAATCCATGGTGGGCCCCGCGGACCCAACATTACCGTCCAACTTAGTGATTTTATATACGTAATTTTTTTTCCCTGTCCACAGTACTAAAGGGATCAAATCAGCCCCGAAAAATGTGTATAGTTGGTTTGATTAAAATATTATGTATATTAATTTTTTAATATTTTTAATTTATGAATAGTAATAACTTTTTCTTTTTTTTTTTTGTAACTTTTTTGACTTTTTAGATTATTTGGAACACTCCAAACCAGGCCTTAGATCATTCCATACAACCCTAGTGTTGACACGTCACTCGTCTACTTGGTGTGGAAAGAACCATCTATATACCATTTAGTCCTAATTTGGCTATTATTTTGGGGTAATGTTGGCTTTTTGGCTTTTCGAAGGGTATTTTTGTGAATGTGAGCGTGCCAATAAGGATCAATCAGTCCTTACAGAAATTGTGATTGCCAACCAATTATCAGACGATTGTGTTTTAGTTCTTTTCAGCCTCAATGAAGAGGACTTTTACTGGTGGCTTGACTTAGGAGAAGTTAATAGAAATAACAGTAATATGAAGAACAGTTGAAGTATTTCATAAAAATGAACACTTACAATGGTCCGAACTCAGCCTCAGAGAGGTTTACAACAGCAATCTACTTGAATCAACTTGAAGCTACTCCTACGAATCGAAGTGCAGTGCGGGTATTTAAAGTGCAGGTATTTAAAGAACAGGTATTTAAAGACTGGAAATGTAAAAGACTGGAAAAGAAAATATATGAAGTAAATGACTGATTTGTATGATCTGAGTCCCTCCCTTTTTCTGGGGGCTGCCCTGCTATTTATACTCGTCAGTGATGACCTTCGAACTGCACTTCAAACCGTCGAACTGCTCCTCCATGATCGCTGATCATGCTTCCTTACAAGTAGCTCCATTACGCCATTACTGGCAGTTGAGCTTCCCTCTTGTACTGGAATTTGAATATGAGTAACCGTTGAAGATATGTCATCTTGCATCCCGTTATTGATCTAGTGTTTCTCAGATCATGTGAGGACCAATATTTATTGCCACGTGTACGATCAGGATTAAAGGCTTGAATATCCTTCCTTTATTACCCTTACTCTGCCACGTGTCGAACTGTAACTGGCTTTTACAAAATATGTAGCCAACAGGTAATGCCAGGGACACCAAATTTTCTACCAAACAAATGATCAAATGTCTCACATGGGTGTGGGGTCCGCAATTTTGTAGGCCCCATACCCATGTGAGACATTTGGTCATTTATTTGATAGAAAATTTGAGACCTCTAGCATTTTTCATTTTTTTGAGGTTAAAAAAAGTACAAAATGACAAAACAGATTAAATAAGTTAATAAGATAAAATATCACATTTAACTCATAACTATTACACTTTTTCTTTTACAAAAATCAAAAAATTCAAATCAAACGAGACAAAAAAATCAAACTAACACAAAAAAATTGATTATATTAAGCAATGACAAACGAAGCTTTAGGATAGAATTGTTAGCAAAGAAAATAAATTCTTTGCTTGCCTAATGCATTGCAAGCTTCTGACCTTCCGTCAGAAAGCAAAGGTAATAAGATAAGATATGAAACAAATTAATTAATTTGATTTTTTTAATAAATTATTTATATGAATATATTTAATCATTAAAATATATCACATAAATCATATGAAAGATTCCAGAGAAGTTTTCAAATATAACTCTCGTTTAATCTTGAAACATAAATAGAAATTTTGGTTAACAACCAAGACTTCTGTTTCTCTTACAAAAATAAATAAATAAATAAATAAATAATAATAATTAAAAAAAATTAACTTTGCTGAGCAACCAACTGTGCATGAAAAATAACAATCTTTTTTTAACAAATTCTAACTTGAATTATTCTTATTAATTATATTAGCGCAGTTGACCGCGTATGTACGTTTTATTAGAAGTCACTTTTTTTTAAATGCAAAAACTTCCTATTAGGGACTTCTTTATTGTGTTATTTATTTAGATTGATTAATTATCTAGATGTATAAATAATTGAATGATAAAAAAATAAAAATAAACTATTGACTTGCTTCAATCATTTGCAAATTGTAACCTCCAAAATATTACCAACACGTTTGGTCATTCTTATTTTCAAATTCTCTCAAAATACTATATTCTATTCATTTCAAACTTTTGCATTATCAATGCGTATATAATATATGTTATATATATGAAACAGAGTTCCCCTTAAATGAATTATAAAGATAAGTAAATCTTATTTTCGAATGATAAAGTTCATTTTTAAGGAGTTATCAATTAATGGCTGAATTTTCCCAATTCCAAATTTATGGATAGACTTCATTAATTTAAGGGGTTTTTTTTTTTTTTTTTTTTGATACAATAAAGCTTAAGGAAGCACGACCCAACAAACAGAGACAAAAACAAAGCCAAAACAAACTAGAACTCCCAAAGTAGATTAGCAAGAGCTGGAGGGGGATGAGAGACCCAATCAAGAGGCAGATGGCCTCGGAGAGAGGCTTGGGCAACCCAATGAGCTGCACTGTTAGCTGTTCTAGGAGCCCAGCAGAAAGAAAAGCCCCCATGCGACGCCAAACACTGTATGTCGGTAAAAATAGAGCCACATTCCCACGGAGGAACATCTTCAGAAACACATAACTGGATTACAGACTTGTTGTCCCCTTTAATTTCCACCTGGGAGAGGTTGCTAGTACTGGCGAGAAGGCATACATATCGGCAAGCTAAAGCTTCTCCTTGAAGAGAGGATGAGACACGACATGAGCTAGTAAGGCCATCAATTAACCTCCCCCCAAAGTTTCTTAGCAAAACAGCTATAGAGGCCACTGAAGAGTCTTTCTTTATCGCCACATTACAATTAACTTTAAAGGAACCAGGCGGATGAGCTTGCCAAACCGACCTCCCTTGGAGATTCTTGAGCACAATCTGAGGTTGCACCACCTGTAGGGCATCAGGAGCAGACCCATACTCCAGTTTGGCCACTCGAGCTCGATGTAAAGTCGATGAGGGCTCAATGTTGATATGGTTGAAAGCAAAGTTGTTACGGTCCTTCCAAATAAACCAACCGATCCAAATTATAAGACTAAAAAAGGAACTCATCTCTGTACTCATTCTGAAGTAGTTCAGCATATCACACATCCAGTGAGGAATCGAGAACACAGGTCCTCCCTGCCCATCGAGTTTTAAATCACAGCCAAACCAAATTACACGAACCCAAGCACATTTGAAGAGCAGATGTTCAGTAGTTTTCGACGATTTCTGGCATATAGGGCACATGTTGGACACTGCACAGCAGCGTTTGCACAGGTTTTCTTTCATAGCTAGTACATTTTTGCACACCCTCCACCAAAAGTGTTTAAGCTTGGGAGGAAGCTATAGAGCCCAAGTCATCTTCCACATGGCTCTTAGGGGCTGGAAAGAGGAAAATGAATTACTAGATAGAGAGGTGCTGAGTTCTTTCATGGCAATGTGGTACCCCGATCGAACCGAATATATTCCTTTCGAATCAAAGTGCCAGACAAGGGAATCTGGAGTTTGATCCAAAGCAATAGGAATTAAGCTAATGGCTTCCACTTCTGCTTCAGTTACATAAAGGCAAAAATCATCCACCTTCTACCTCTTAGTCATAGAGTCAATAGCATCACACCCAGTCTGAAAATCATTTCCCCTGGGCTTCGGAGAGGTCACCTTAAACCCCGGAACGTATGGGATCCATTTGTTCTCCCAAAATTTTGCCTCGGTCCCACTATTGACTTGCCAGCGAATACCTTGCAGTAAAAGATCCCTGCCTTGTAAAATACTCGCCCAAGCCCAAAATGCCCTCTGGCCTTTTGAGGCTTCCATAAAATTAGAGTGCGCGAAATAGATTCCTTTCAGAATACGCGCACAAAAGGATTGTGGGTATTTCACCAATCGCCAACCTTGGCGAGCTAATAAAGCCAAGTTAAACTTGTGAAAATCTCGAAAGCCCAAACCTCCTTCTAATTTTGACATGCTCAACAGCCCCCAATTGGTCCAGTGAACCCCTTTGCCTTCCAGATCACCACCCCACCAGAAGTTGCTGATATGGGAGTTTAGCTTTGTGTAGAATTTTTTGGGGAAAACAAAGCACACCATCGCATAGGCTGGAATTGCTTGGACCATTGCTTTAATAAGCGTTTCCTTTCCTGCTTGAGATAACAATTTCTACTTCCAACCTTGCAGCTTTGAGAGAATCCTTTCAATCAGAAACTCATAGGCTTCGGCTTTTGAACGACCCCAAAAGGACGGTAATCCTAAGTATTTCGTATCTGGCTGAGAGAGCTGGAACCCTGATATGCTGCAAATAGAACTACACATTGCAGGAGGGGTATTCAATGAGAATTGCGCGCTGGATTTGTCAAAATTTATCTTCTGCCCCGAGGCTTTGCAGAAATTTCAAAGGATGTGTAAGATATGTTGGCATTCACCAGACTCCGCCTTGAGAATGTTTTCCAAAATGATATGTTCTGTACAATGAATGATTGTTCAAGGCAGAGCCCTGAAATTTTTAAACCTAAGATATGATGATTCCTGAGGCTTCGAGATAAGAGATTAGAAAGAACACCAGCAACAATGATAAACAAATAAAGAGACATAGGGTTCCCTTGCCGCAGCCCACTGCCTAGATTGAAGGAAGCCATTTTCTCACCATTCGCAAACACGGAGAAAGTGATAGTGGACACACATTCCATTACCCATTGGGTCTATATAGGATGAAATCCATCTTTTGAAGAACTTCAGACAAGAAATCCCATTCTACCTGATCATACGCCTTGTTGAAGTCGAGTTTGATCGCTATATGACCTGTTGTCCCGTACTTCTTTAATCTCAAGAAGTGAAAGGCCTCGTGGGCCAAAAGAATATTATCCTGAATCAGGTGGCCAGGAACAAAAGCGGACTGATTAGGAGTGTAGTAACCCCGACCTCCGATTAATGCTAAACCATGATTATTTATGCCTAATAGTAATTTAGAAGGAATCCGAAAATAAATTGCATATGTATCACATTATCTTTGTGTTTCTATCTGTTTGCCATAAAATGATCTGTTCTCGTTTTAGTTTCGGTTTGCAAATTGGAAGCCTTATCGACGACCGATTCAGAAATTGATTAGTGTTTTATACTAGTAAGAATATATGTGATTTTATGGTATGTTTAATTAAAATTTGATTTGGTATGATTAAATTAGATTAAATAACGTTAAATTACATTAGTTAAGTTTATTACGAAATTGCCACTAGTGGGCCACTTCATGAAACCTTTAAAGACTTGATTCATACATTTGTTGCATCATTTTCATTCATTTTCCTAAGCTAAAACCGACTAGAGAGAGAGGGAGAGGTAGGAGATTGAATTCATCTAGAGATTTGGCTTGGAACTTAGGAGAACTGAAGAGGCTTTGCAAATTTGAGCTCCTTAAGGTAGGAGATTCTGCTTTCAATTGTGAATTTAAGATTAATTCTTGCATGGTTCATGGAAGATTAGAGATTGAAGTCAAGAATTGGTTGAAAATGTTGAATTGAGACTTAAATCATACATGCATGTTCATATCTTAGCATTTTGAAGTATTTTCATGGTAGTTCTTCCATGCAAGCCCATATTCTAGCCTTAGTCCATGAATTCATCATGATTTTGAGCTCAATCTTACATTTGGTCATGTTTTAGAGCATTGGATTTAAAATGAACACTTGCATGTTAAGCTCTTGTTTTGTTCTTGAAGTTTTATTTGAAATTGTATTTAATTGACTCACCTTTGGGCTTTGATTTTACAAATTGATCTTTGAAACATCTTATACTATGAGTTTACAAGTGTTTGCCAAAAAATGGGCCCAAGAGGTCGAGTTTTGAGGTGTTGAATGCTTGGTTTGAGCTTGGGAGGCAAATCTGAAAATTCCAAAATTTGGCTTCCTCGCTCGAGCGACCATCATTTGTTCAAAGCTTCGCTCGATCAAAGGAATGGTGGCTCGAGCATAAATTGCAAGCTCTCAGGTTTTTGGTGCACGCAGACGCACGCTCGAGCGACGAGACCTACGCTCGAGCGAAGGGCTGTGTCTCACGCTCGAGCGAGCATCGAGCGGGCATCGAGCGTAAAATTTCAATAACCAGTACTTTTGCATTTTTACAGACCGCTCGAGCGAAGGAGTCTACGCTCGAGCGACCCCTCTGTTTTGACAAGCTCGCTCGAGCGAAGGGAGCTACGCTCGAGCGAGACCCCTGTTTTCAGCAAGTTTTGAAAAATATTTTCCAAGGCATCTTTGCATCCTCATTCCATCCTAAGCATTCCTAGGCCATGTTTAAGACTCTATAGTGAGGATTTGAGGTTAGAAACACACTAAGAACCAACGACGTAAGTTTTGTGCAATTAGAATGTGTGTTTCAAGTGTGTGTCCGTTATGTGTTATGTAAGTCACGTGCCGCGTGTCGTGTGATCAATCTGCTTCGTCTGTCTGTTTCAAGGCCAACTGTGAGTAATAATTTAGTAAAGTTATATTCAAACTGTATCTACTTTCTGTGTGATAAAACAAGATTTGTTTTCCAAAATGATATGTTCTGTACAATGAATGATTGTTCAATTTCTGATATGTATTCGTGACATCCTTAGCATCATGTGATATATGTTAGCTGTTACCCGGTATCAGAGGTTCCTTTATGGAACTTATTTCTGTCTACACTCTGTTACCCGTACCGGAGGCCCTATCATGGGGGCTCAGCTTCTGTTCTATTCTATTGCCCGGATCCAGAGGTTTCTTTATGGAACTGGTTATTCGTAACCTCACGTGTATACGTTCTATTCTGTTCTGTTCTGTTAATGCTAATAGATGTATCACGTAAACTTAATCATGACTTATGATTTATGTCTGTATATGATCTGGACAAATGATGAATTTGATACAAATATGAATTAAGATTTTTCGAATTTGTATGAACTCATTCATTGAAACCTTTTACTCTATTATTATTCACTTGGCTTCGCTCAAAGTTTATATTATGTATGTAGGTGAGCCGGCATGTGACCAGGACCAGAGTTGATGGCCTTCTATTTTGTTTTTGTCAGCCAACTGTTGTGCCTCCCGAGAAGGTTCCGAACGAAGTCTAAGCCATGGCTATTTTTGTAATCATGCTAGTCTCTGTGTATGCTCTGTACAGTCAGGTCTTGGGAAGTACATTCTGTAAATACCTTGTAAATATTTTGTATATGGATTGGCGTGTTTATGTATATATATAAATAAGTTTTGAAATGTTCTGTCCCATGTACGTTATCACAGCTCATTGGACCTTGTCTATCTTGTATTATTATTTCCGCAGCCCCTTATTATTTACTAATCTGTTCAGAGGCCTTTGGTAATCCACGGGTTTGGGTCGTGACAAGGGGAGATCAGATGCTTCAAAATCTTTTTCAAATTGGCTAGGATCTTGGTTATGACCTTAAGGTTGAAGTTACACAAACTAATTGGTCGGAACTGGGACAGTTTCTTAGGATGGGCCATCTTGGGGATCAGGATTAAATTAGTTTGGTTTAACTCTTTGAGCAATTTACCCCCCAAAAAGAAACTTCTCACTGCCTGACAAACACTATCTCCAGCTTATGACCGATAAGTTTGATAAAAAAAACCCAGGAAATCCATCCGGGCCCGGAGATTTGAGCGCTCCCAATTAGAACACTGCTGCTCAAATTTCTTCATCACTTACAGGGGAAATCAACTCACGGTTCATGTCTGCAGTAACCAGTGGCTCTACCCCAAGTAGCGCTTTTCCAAAATCTCGCGGTCCACTGCTTGTAAAAAGATTAGAGAAATAGAAATGCATATGTTGATTTATCTCTGGATCTGTTTTAAGCCATCTACTCGTATCCGATTGGAGTTGAATTATTTGATTTCTTTGTCTACGTTGAATCATGGAAGCATGAAAAAACTTTGAGTTTTGGTCCCCATAATTTAACCAGCGTACCCGCGATCTTTGATGTAGAAACATTTCTTCTTGGGCAAGCATGATCTCTAATTCACGCTGAACAGCACTCTGTTGGATCAAATTATCGGCCGAACTGGGTTTGGCTTGGAGGGATGCCAAATCCAATTTAAGCGTTGATATCTGAATTTGAGTGTGTCCAAAATGTTCCTTACTCCAAGCTCGTAGTTCGTCACGATAGGATTGGAGTTTCTTGACTAACTGAAACATAGGAGAACCCACTGGTCTGATACCCCAAGTCGCTCTGATCACATCAACACACGAAGGGCTAGTAGACCACATGGATTTGAACTTGAAGTATCTAGGAATTTTTTTAAGAGGCACACAACAGTTTAGAATCACAGGGCACTGGTTAGAACCAAAAAGAAGTTCATGAAAAACCTAGGCCTTTGGGAAAAGAGTTCACCACTCAACCGTAGCCACAGCCTTATCCAAATGTTCCCGAACATGGTCGCCTCCCCTTTGATTATTTGACCAAGTGAAAGAAGCCCCCTTAAATTCTAAATCCATCAGCGCACAGGTTGAAAGTAGTTCCTAAAAAAGCTGGAGTTGAGACATGCGGCACTCTGCACCCCCTTTCTTTTCCTTAATCCAGCCTATCTCGTTAAAATCACCAATACAGACCCAATGATATCTGTTAGACAAAGCTATATTTTTAAACTGGTCCCAAAAAGCCCTGTGAGTTGAGCGTTGCGGAGGAGCATAGATAAAGGTGGCTGCCCAAGTAACAGAGATACCCGACAGAGAAATAACAGTTTGGATCATGTTTTTGGATTTAAACCTCACATCGAGCTGTAAGCTATCCATCTACCATAATGCCAAGCCGCCCGATAGCCCTTCAAGCTCAACATAACATTTGTTGGTAAAATGAAACCGTCTACAAATTGATGCTGATTTATTCTTGGTTTCCATCAAAAAGACCACTTTGGGACGATGGGTTGCAACTAGCCCTCGGAGGATCTGGACTGTCAGGGTATGTCCCAAACCCTGACAGTTCCAACTTAAAATCAACATGGTGGGTGTAGCTGTTTTGGGCCAGCCACCAGAGCCCAATCGTCACATGCAAGCGAATTATTATGAGGGAAGGTAAAAGGAACTTGTGACCAACACTCACCTAGTGCATCAAGGGATTGATCCAGATCCGAAACCATTGGGACTCC